TGTTTGCGTACATATGGTACGTATCTCATTTTGTATAGAAGGATCACTGTTCTGGAAAAATCGCACCTGATTTCTGTACATGTAAACTACATAGATTCGAACTGGGGAAAAACAGGAATTAAAAGGGTCATTTTGATGTCAAGTGGAATGCTGTGAATTATTCATGAGCAAATGACAAAACGTACAATACATCCTTCGTATGATCCCTACTCTGAGATATGTGATGGGGGTAGCTATACAAGCGAAGACGTCTGAAGAATACCGTCCCGTGATATGCACAAACGTGCACAGAACCACGGAGCAGTCTGTGTTCATGCAAACCTAACCAACTGACGGCAATAGGACGAAGTAATGTATGCAGTAGTTTCTTTTTCGGCGCATGGTCGCGTTATAATTTGTTAATCGTACAAAATACACAGAATGCTTTATCTAGTGCATTGTCATGCATATCACGTGGCAACGAATGTGCTCGTCGTCTGCGTTTGTATAGCTATCCCAACCAAATTACGTCATAGAGTAAGGTTTATAGTTGCATACTGTTATTACGACAGTTGTCATGTTCGCCAGCTTAATAGTTGAAATATAACTAATTCGCATATAAGTCAATAGAAATGTACGCCTAATCTACATATGCGGAACTCAAACCTGTGATTGTTACTAGTATACATATAAATACTAATATGCATAAAACAACTGGCGATTACTAAATTTACACAGACGTCGTGTGTCATCAGCCAATATACTACTGACTATGCATAGCTTAGCCAATCACAGATGGCATGATTACATAGTCAAACAGACTTAATGCGCAATTAGACTCTGCAGCAGAAACTGTCCCTGCAGCATATCATATAGACTCGTGCTGGTTTGTGATTGTAAATAGTAAAATCGCTACAGTCGTCGCCCAATGCGAGTTCGAGTGTTGTGTAAATAAATAATGTATTTTACACGCGTTGTTTACGTCGCTATGGGACTCATATCGAACACGACGCGGCGCGACGACTGTAGCGCTTCAACCATATGCTCACCGCACGTCTCTAAGAGTGTAGCATAAACAATGTGGAAAGGTGTCTAGTAGAACGGTCTTACTGATTGCTAGTTTAATTTAATATTTCTCTGTGTGACATACTAGGATCCAAGCATATGCATTTTTTGTATAGAAATAACTTGAACCAATTAAATCTCAGGCTGATTAAACTGGTAGAGACACTGTTTTTTAAAATTGTGATTATAACCAGCGACCGCATACTAATGGTGACACAGCCTATACCTACATCAACTTTTATTCAGGTTAGAACTAACTGCAACACATCATCTGAGTCAACTTAAGGCAGCCTTACTGTCACGTGGTCTGGGCTGTTCAGCCAATCACGTACTTTGGAAATCGTGGATGTACGAACAAAACACACACGCCAAGCTTGGGTGAGATGTTTTGAGCTGGGTTATAGAATAAATAATATATGTAACCCAAAGCAACAAACTCGTTAAAGGGCGGTGGTCGTCACGCAGCGCGTGCTCGAATTTCATGTAAACAAACAATGTATTTTACACGCGTTGCATACATCGCTATGAGTCCAATATCGAACAGGACGCGATGCGACGACCACTGCCATTTAAGAAACAAACAAAAAGCCTTTGTCACTGTGTATGTGTACGTGTATTCTTTGAATAAACATATAAAAATCCTTGGAAACTAAATCTAGGGGCTAGGATATATCCCGCTGCAATTTCTGGAAAAACTAAACTGAAAAGATGAAATCGATATATCAAAATATATAACGACGCGTTCATAAATTGTCATCCACATTTATTTCTAAATACAATATTACATCATGGTATAATAATAAATTACACACCTATATATATATTTCAATTTATTGTAAATGTTTTTTTCGCTGTTATTTTAAATCTGAGAAAAAGTACCCGAACTATGTTTGCTGTGCGCATGTCCGGACTATTTGTAGCTCTGTAGAGAGTTTACACAAACTATAGTCTGTAGGGGCGCACTTCAGCGTTTATTATTCTGACTGCGGTTTTAAAATAGATGTGATCACAACTATTCATATAAATATGAACATAACATATCTATCATTATGTTAACTTAAGTTACTACTATCATAGTAACCAGCGGATTGGAAAATAGTGGTCCGACAACCTGTTCGAAACTTGATGATTAAAAAAACTAATCTTAAACAAGTTTAAATTGAAATTGTGTGCTACTGGGTGTGTTTCGGGGCATATGTGCAATGCACTATAGGAGAGAAATTCCCATTGACTATCAGGGTAGAAACTTACTTATATGAAGATTCTTTTTTGAATGTTATAACAATATTATGATTAACATCAATAATAATAAAGGCTTGTTTCAGCCTATGCTCGGCGCAATTTTTCGAAAGGTATTAAGTAATTGTTTCACTGTTGCAACCTACGCGAAAACGTCCATTACATAATAGATTCCAATACGCCAATGCGCCCTCAAGTGACGAGGCGCTTCTGTGAAATTAAAATGACGTATATTAGGGTGGAGTCAGTGTCGTTCAAATCTACTGCTGTGATTGGCTCTGTAGTCGTTCGTCATATTGATGAACGACGACAGATTTAAACAATATCGATGCTTGAACGGCCTTCATGTCACCCAATTACGTAATTGAAGCGCTTTGTCGCTAGAGGGCGTGACTAATAGGAAAAATACGATGTATTCGTGTTTTTTTTTCTGTATCCTAATGGCAAAAAGCCATAGTAACAGTATATACAGAAACTGATTAGACCCACACCTCCTTTACATTAAGTAAATATCGTTAAACGCTTTCCCAGTATGGCTGTGAAAGCTCTAAAAATAAAATACAATACAATAAATAAATTGTACACCAATGGTGTGTATATATATAGACTGGTAATCGGTGTTGGTATATCAGGTAACAAATATAGAAATATACGTGTATTTATTGTCTTTGCAATGTCTGGGTCGTTCTCAGCATTTCTGAGAACGAGAAAAGCGTCTTACGCAAATCTAAGTCGTTCACAGTCGGAACACAAAACGGATACGGTCTTAAGCGGAGAAGATACCAATATTTGTTTTTGTCTTAATTTAATTTAAAGTTGATCTCGGTATCATAAGAACAGAAAAAGCTTGGAGCAGACACATCGGTCAAAATTTCAATGCCCCCCCCCCCCACAAAAGTTGGACGATTATACTCAGTCTACTTCAACAATGTTGTGCCTGTAAATGTTTTCATACCTCCATTATGTGTAGTTATTGTGATATAATCACAATGAATTTTCAGACATCGGTGGCTTTGTTCTGTAAATGATCGTCAAATGTATTATGCTCAAGCTATACGCCCATATAATGCTACTTCATCGTTCCAATCGCAGCTAAATTATCATGGATGCTAAAGATGAGAAGCTGTAAAACTGACATGTGTACATTTTCGAGTTTCCCAGCCAGATGCACTCGCAATTGGAATGACATCACCGATCCAAGCCCGGTCACGTTTAATTTATTGTTTTTTAAAGAAATGTATCAAAAGTAAACTATTTACAATTTAGATAACGTTAATGTAGAACCCGTAAAATCAATTAGGAAATATAAATATGGATTCTCCATCGAGTAACTAAATACGCAAGACCTCACAAAAATGGCCGCCGAGATCTCGTTGAGATTGAGAGAGCCACGAGTCTTGTTTTATGATCATTCAAATCAATCTCCTATGCAGAGATCTATTTCTACCGAATATATCTCTGCCACGGTGACCGCGAGGATCATATGCTTGTCGTTGATTGGCCGATGCACCACAGTGGTACTACTTTGAAAAATGTCCACCAAATTATCCATATGTGCCATGATGATGTTCGATTTCCAAACCCGACTAAAGCGTAGATTTTGGCTGTTTTCAAAATGAGAATCTATTTTTGTTTTACTTTCCATAACATAAACGGGAGTGGCAGTAGGAGTTAGCCGTCAATACTACTAATTTTATATTGTTTCGCCCAGCAATCGACAGGACATCAGTTTGAAGAACCGAGTAACAACTTAGTAACCGCGTTATTCCGCGTTGAAATAATTTCTTTGTAAATTTATATATATATATATTTGCATTTACGAAAAGATTACTTTCAACTATCAATAGCATATTTTAAAACCGTTTACCAGTAAGAAGAAATTAACACGAGAGGCCTATAATAACAAAAACAAGAATACGCGTAATAAAAGTCTTGTGGCGTCTCACCACAATATGGCGGCATGTGGTGGCAGAGCAATCTTCTTCCCATAGAACTTTGCGTTTTAAATTTTGTGGTCAATCACTGGTATTGACGGCTAATTCGTCCTATAGCCACTCCATTTGTGCTATGGAAAATAAAAAAACGCTCACTTTGAAAACAGCCAGAATCTATAAACTACGCGTACGTACACCTGCATGGAAACGTTTGGGTGGGCGTCTTTGAAAGTAGAACCTCTATGACGTAAAGACCAATTCGCGCATTGATGGGTAATCCTCATCTGTCCGCCGTTAGCACTGTTGGCACGGAGTAATTTAGGTTTATAAACATTTTAGTGGTTCCATTTCTGAGCAAAGTGGATAACTTCCAGCATGTTCATTTATCTATTGTTTTGTTATGTATTTATTTTTTTATATTGCATCTTGGTAGATAAAATTTACTGTAAAATAAATATATCTTAGACTGCAAACATGCCGATGCATTAGATTTTTTTCAGTATTTCATCCCATGAAGACAAAACAAACGTTTAATTTTATGATAAATCATTCTAAAATGATTTACAAAAAAGATATAGCGAAACAAAAATTTAAACAGACTAAAAAAAAGTTATCAACATTGACCCTTCAACGTTTGAGAATATTCCATCTTGTGCGTGTGTTTATTTCGGCGTGTTGGTCAGCCACATTCATTAGATTACGACACGTCGTATCCCTCGTATATTGAACGCTTTTCCGATGCATGACGTTACACCCATTATTCGATGACGTCACGCACAATGTTCACACGTAGTACACTCCATCCGGGTCATTCATAAGTGACGTCAATTGATGGAGAATATCAAAAGCTGAAGCCGGCTCATTGGCACATTCTGATACACATAAGCGCAACACTTCGTCAGCCTAAAAAATATGAGACTTAAGTCAATATATCGTATACAGAAACACATGTACTACTTTTCAAAGTACTATAGCCACATTTGCAAATTGTGTGGAGTGTATTAAAAACATCTGTCATAAAAAATGATTTTAATATTCTGCGCCTATATCAATAGAAATCAACTAAGCTCCATAGAAGTTGTAATAATGAGAAAACATCATAATTAGAACTGAGATTTCTGCCAAAATATTCAATATAGTAGGTCTGCCGTGGTGCAATAAGAAGCAGGGAATAATCTTGTGGGAGGGCGTAGTTATGATTGGAACTGTCGGAAAATTATTTATGATTCTGTTTTGAGATGTTTGATTGCACTAACGTCAGTACCTTCCATGATTGCACGTATATTGATTTCAACGACATTTTTAGTCTTACTGATGACCATTTATTAAAATATAATAATCATTATAAAAAAATATTATTTCCTCGTTTCCGTGGAAACAAATCGAGTTATGTCTGTAATCATCATCACTACTGTAACATGCGATATAAAGTTAAGCACACATAAAATAACAATCCTGATTACGAAGTGTTTTTGAACATCGATTGAGACATGTGTACTTGACAATTGGTGATTCGGGAAGTTATAAACATGATTGGCACTAAAAATAATCCTTCCCGCTTATGACCATACGTAAATGCGATACGTCGATGGGCCCCAATAGAAGACGGTGCCGTGCTATAGTGTTTATGTGACGTATATGCGAATGATCGTAGATAGACCAATAGAAGGCCGTGTTATAGTGTTTATGTGACGTAAATGCGAATGAACGTAGATAGGCCAATGGAAGGCCGAGTTACTGTATCTATGTGACGTAAATGCGAATGAACGTAGATAGGCCAATAGAAGGCCGTGTTACAGTATTTATGTGACGTAAATGCGAATGAACGTAGATAGGCCAATAGAAGGCCGTTTTACAGTATTTATGTGACGTAAATGCGAATGAACGTAGATAGGCAAATGGAAACCATGTTACAGTATTTATGTGACGTAATTACAAATGAACGAAGAAAAACCAATGGAAGATCGTGTTACAGTGTTATGTGACGTAGATACGAATGACGTAGATAGGCCAAATGCATAGATGGGCCAATGGATTACCACGTTACAGTGATTATGGGATTCTACATCCATAAGGCATATATTTGGGAATTATGAATCGAATATTCATGATTCCAAAAAATAAGGACAAATCAACGCTTGTTCTTTTTACACGAATTGCCTGCTACTAGTAAATTGATTAGTTCCTAGCAATCAGAGAGAGGCGCGGATGGATACACCATTGAATTGTATTGATTTAACCCACGGACGTGTTCTCTACGTCACATTTGACTAAAGGGATTTACGGGAAAGCAAAATGTAATTTAAACTTTGGTGGTGATATTACTTACCCGAAATCCTTTATTCATATTCAACCGTGTCCCTGTAAACAATGGCGCCAATTCAGTAGTATCTACAAACGAACAAGAACGTTTCATAATGTTGAAAAACTTGTCAAATACCGTTTTATATAGATTCACAGCTACGTCGTGTAATTAGGCTTACTTACCGGTGTCGTCTGCTTCGTGTGTTACCAGCACATTAGCACAAAGGTCATTGAGCATGCGCGCAATTGCCATGACATCATTCATTTGATCGATGGTCTCATTCATGTTTGTTAACTGGTCTATTGCTTTTGAGAAATCGAACAGGACGGGACGAACGTTTTTCGGTAATTCCTGCAGAAAAAAAAATGTTATGTTGTTAAAATTGACTCGAAAAATGTCTATAGGCGTGGACTTATAAAATTCTCGTGGTACAACGTAATAACAGACACACAGACTTCTCACCTGGCTAATGGCTTCGACTAGAACAGTGGAGGAAGACAAATTATCATAAACTATGTTGTGTTTTCTGAGGTGGTCTACCGCCCTGGATATCTGGATAATGATTTGTATGAATATTCTAATGTCCAATGTATCTTTGGCAAATTCTTTCAGAGTAACACCATTCACATATTCAAAACAGATCAGTCTTAAAACAATGAAGAGAAAACATATTTTATTTCATCAACATTAACCTTGCGTTTGATAGTTGTTATGAATTGTGTTAAAGCCAAACCTAAAGTTTGTATCCGATCCGGAGTTGTTTACAATATTATTATATTATTTACAATATTATGCCTGTTTGGCCTAACACCATACAGTCAGACCAATCAGAGAGCGTCTTGTAAATATGTTTCGACTCAACTGGGAAAAAGTGCGAGGATGCCATTTGTTTTGTTTATACATTGCTGTGAAATTGACTTTTTTCGCATTAAATGCTCCTCAAGTGTTTTGTTTATTGTATTTTATCATAACCATCATTTAATCGTTCTTCAAACCATTTTTATTCATTCCATATTTGATTTAACTTGTTCGTTTTTTTCTGTTTGTTATGAAATAAAAAGTGTGCCATTTTTTCAGACATAGCTAGCAACCAAAAGAAAACATGCCACAGGTAAAAACTTACAATTTTGTGTTATTCGGAATCTGATCTTTCGTGCCATTCCATTCCACTATATCTGACGCGCTGCAAGTCCACAGCAGCTTAACAATGTTGTCGTGGGCATTCTCGTTCTCGTGCAGCTTTCTCAAGATCTGCGTGATGTTGTTAAATTCATTCGCATTCCTCTCCGGAAAGCATACAAGACAACCTGACGCCGACGTGGCATACTGGTTTTGTGGCTTGAACTCAATCTTATATTTATTCTACAGAAGAACATAAACACTTATGAGATATGGTTATTCAAAGATCAACGTCTCGTGCAGTACGTATTTTGAAAAAAAATCCATGTAACATCACAGCCAGAGTGTGATAAAAACAGCGACCTTTTAAAGAGACACATGCTACGTCATTGTGTCTATATTATTTAATATACATAATATATGCCAGGAAGTACAGATATGCACAGTACATATTACATATACAGATGAAAGAAAATCAATATCATTACCAAAATGTCACCATTTAACTGATGTGACTAATGGGTGAAAACGTGGAATATAGATGTATTACCAAATACTGATATCTCAACAAAAATTTACATCAAGTAGACAACAAAGAGCAAATAAAATGAAGGGGGTATTGACTTGTTCCATAGAAAAAATTACTCTTACAGCCATTTTAAAATAAAAATGAACTAACATGCATAAAAACTAAGATTCGAAATTCAAAAACTATTTTTTTTCTAGAATTTTTCCTGGAATCATAAGTAATTACTGCCGGCCAGACGTCCAGAAAATCCATGTGTATTCTCAATCCCCCCAGTGGTAATATGCTCAGTATTATAAAGTTGGCAAAATGTAAAAGTATATGCGTGTCGGATAGTAAATTGTTGTTTAAAGCATGACAGTCGACCTGAATCCCGGCCATGCGACGTATACAACGCTTGTAAAATATTCTTTATGACGACATTCCAAAGCGCGCCGCATGACGACCAACTTTCGTGCTTTAATCTAACCTGTCCAAGCCTGCTTATTATTTTTATATCATGCGGTGGTGGTTGGTTTATTCTCTTTCTCCAATCTGTCGTGTCTGCAGCGAACGTCACACTTTTACCGCTGTCGCACCTCTCCCTGCTACTCTGATCACTTCCGGTTCGTTTATCATGGTAACCAATCAGATCCATGCCGCCATTGTGACTGCCAGACAGTGTGCGCAAGCGTATTGCGACAACCGTAGCCGAGTTATTCGACCCAACGGAAGCACATCGATCTGTACGGTCGATACCAGTGTATGAAAAGGACGATCTTGTTTGCGATTCTGAATAAGTAACAAGAACAAAATTGTCTTTTTTCATATGATTATTATACGGGTAAACATGGGAACTTTTAGTTGGGATTGCCATCAACGCCCAGAATAGAATCGAAAATGTCTTGAATAACAGATGCGTATGATAGGTGAATAGGTCGTTTAAGTTTTCTAGTGTATTTGTTCGATTATATCAGCAAAACATAGGCTTAGTATTTGAAGTCTGTTCACGGCGCACATGGACACGCAAACGAACTTGGATACACAAAACGACTACATATGTTTCCGGTATTTCAAATTAAACATTCACTACAAGTAATGTGTGATAGTTAGATAATATTTGGAAGAATGTGTTACTGGTTATTACAGCTGAGAACGAGACTAAATAAAATGGCTGATTTTGTGACGTAGCAAGGCACAAATACCACGTGACGCTCAAATCCTCCAATAGTCTAATAACTGACGATGGACATACCGAGAACAACTTATCTACGCACTAGATCGGCTAGCTCAGATTAAAAAAATGCAATATTGAAATAAATAGCATGCCGTATACTCACCTGCGAAGCTATTGGCTCGTCCGTCCGTTCTCCACCTCACACGAAACGACTCGGTGATAGAATCAGCCATCTTTTTGGTCCGTTTCATGAATGTCGGCGTTGATATTGTGTAAAGTAACGGATTAATGGCGGAGTTGAGAGGTAACACAAACACTGCCACCCATGCGTATACCTGAGAAAATTCAATTATAAATCAATGTTCGACTATTGGAAATCAATGTTCGACTATTGGAAATCAATGTTCGACTATTGGAAATCAATGTTCGACTATTGGAAATCAATGTTCGACTATTGGAAATCAATGTTCGACTATTGGAAATCAATGTTCGACTATTGGAAATCAATGTTCGACTACTGGAAATCAATGTTCGACTATTGGAAATCAATGCTGTTATTGTAAAAGTTATAATAATTCAATACGCATACCCTATCACACACTGGCGACGACGCGATTCAGTTGACGTATAAATAGTTGTAAACAATGTACAAATCGACAAATGTGTTTGGTTACGTGGATCCGTTCGTCGCAATTACAATATAATAACTCTGTCAAATGCTTTATTTTTTATTTGATGGGAGGTTTCACGTCAAAAAAATAACAACGCTGTGAACGATTTTACTTCAGTTTCAGCAATTACGTCACATAAATTATAGAGGGCGCTGCATAATCATTCTCTGGCTCCTTTCTACATTACTAAGCATATCTCAACTTAAGTCGGAGGGGTCGTCACCTGCGCACGCGCGGGAATTGAGTCCCAGGGAACGGTAAAAGCGCGCGCTAAAAATGTGGAGGGGTAGACGCTCGTCTGTAAACAACTATACGCCATGTCCGTCCGCTGCCACTTGCGCAGAAGACGACACCCCGCTTTTAAATAACCACAAGTCACGTATTGATGGAACTTCTATTAAAGATTTTCCAAATTAACAGTAATACGTATTAAGGCAAAATTTGAGCATCAATTGCCTATCAGGACATTTTCACATGTAATGGTGATATCTGGTGACGTGTTATTTCACTTACCCGAGGCGGGATTACAGCGCCACCAAGCGACGCAAATCCAAGCAGTATGATCGGTACCCAGCAGCAGAAATCTGACATCACAATCAAGGTAACGCGTTTAGCCATCGCGTTTTCTGTTTTCATATCACGGTTCCTGACAGCTTGTTGAGTTCTCGTAGCCACCACGAACATTGCCACGTACGACAACATGATTGCCAAGAAGTTTACCAAGTTCAAGACCAGGAAGACAAAAACAGAATATTCCCAGCCCTTGGGCTTGTCCGGTGTTATGTGCAGTGCCAGGCAGACTCCAGAGCGGCCGTAGTAGTTGCCAAAGTAATGAATTCCAAGCAGTGGAATGGCGGAAAGAAAGAAAACCGCTAACCATACCGCTGCCATGACGCGACAGGCGCCATGGAACTGCAATCGTTTAAAGCGGAAAGGAAACACAATACACACGAGTCTGTCTAATGTTATAACAGTCAGTGTAAATACGGATAGTTCGCTGGAGAATGCCGATAGGAAGCCAGCAGCTTTACACAGTGTACTGCGCCGCCACATGTTATCATGGGCGATGTACTCCCCTCGGTAATACGCGTCCACAACGGCGATGATGAGCAAATAAATACCCATGCACATGTCACCAACGGCTAAATTAGTGATCAAAAATGAATGTACCTAGAAGAGACAAAAAAAGCGTAAGTTGAAATAATAAAATAAATTTTAAAAAAAATCATAGCTTATAGTAATGTGTGTTATAATGGTCTCGTATACTAGTACGTTGTCTTAATTGCGTTTTTTGTAATGTAACGGAATGAAAGCACGCTGACAACGCATGCGAGGTAATACTAGGCGAATTCGGTGCCAAATGTAAAAAATGTCAACATACTCATTAACTCCTTCTACCGAATACTTCGTTTTTAAAGCGGAGGGTCGTCACCTGCACACGCGTGGGAATTGAGTCCCAGGCGACGATAACACACGCTAAAAACGCAAAGGCTCATGGGTAGACGTTTGTTTGTAAACAACGACACGCCATGGGCGTTTGCCGCCGCATGTGCAAGCACGGTTACTAATTTAGTAACCGTGGTGTAGGTGGCGACTTCTCCGCGTTAATGTAAGGAGAAACAATGAAAATTGTAAATAAATAAAAACTGGGACGTCGTATGAGCCTGTATCTGAGCTATAGCAGTCTGAGCTAAAACTCTGCATCCATACTAACGCAATAAACTACAAATAGCATCTAGAAACTTACCTTATTGTCACGTTTATCTCGTAGGCGCCAACAGATAACCAACAGATTACCGACGAACGCCACGGTGCCGAGTAACCAAATACTGACACCTAACACTACGTTGGACATGAGGTCCTCACACGAGGAGAACTCGTTGGGAGGAGGTGAGCAGTTCGGTACGAATCTGGCCAAGCAGCAAAAACGATATTCGTCAGTCAGTCTGAAAAAAAGAACGCAATGTGATAAAAAATATTTTCGTTGCTTGCAGACAAGCGTATACCCATGAGCCTTTGCGCTTTTAACGTGCGTCGATTGGGACTCACTGAGTTCCCGCGCGTGTGTAGCTGACGACTCCTCCGCTGATTTTACGGTAATCACTTTACCGTCGTTCTCCTAACAGAACCATTCACAATCCGTGGACCAGCAGGACGTAGTTTTATTTCACGTGATATTTAAGTATTTGCTGACTGAATAAACGCGTGCATATTTTCACACGTTAGTTGCCAGATGTCTTGACTCACATAGTAACAAGACAAAAAGTTATAACCCGTTATATAATAAACAAAAAACAATATATATTAAATTTCACTTTTAATGTCGTGATTGTGCTGTTAAAAAATAAATCGTTGTTACGTATCATACGTTCTTGGAAATTGCTGTTAAGAGCAACTTTTCAATAAAAGTCACCGTTCAATAAAAAGGTCTAGATACCATGAGCTGTAGTTTGCTCTCGACATATATGTACATTTTACTCACAGATTTTCAAGTTTCATTAGTCCGTAGAATACCTTGCTTTCAACTTGTAATAAATCATTGAAGGTAAGATCGCTGAAATAAAAAAACACGTTAAAATTAACATAACCGTCCCGTTGCTGTGAACTATATTAATTGCATTCTTTTATTCGCGCTAATTGTGTATAAGAACGATATTAACATCGACATTTTGTGAAAATCATCTACTCGGCTTATAAAAACAAACGAACTCTTTACCCAAACGCGTAGTGGCGTACTTACATTGTCATGATTTCGTGAAGACCATTGAAAACTCCATTGTCTATGAAACGCAAGTGGTTATGGGATAGATTTCTGAAATAAAGTACGACTTAGAAAGATAATGTCAAATGAATAGAAGCGAATGACAAAACGGATGACAGTGTAGAAACATACCCACTCAACTGTGGTTGTGGTTCAATGTGTCAGTCGACGTCCAGCCATTGGAGATCAAGCAGTGAAAGTAATTAAAATATTAGGGCAAACTACAATTTGCAAAAACGATATGGAAAAGGTGATATTTTGTGGAAAGTTTCGGGAGAATACAGCTGATTTTCACCTATTTATGCAACCCAGGTTACTATTATTAACGCGAACGTGACTGTAGACAACGAAATGTACTCTACCAGCAACGGCATAATATACTAGTAGATATAGGGGCGAGTAATTATATGGTTTCTAAACTGGCAAAACAAGTCGCCATTATATACAAATTATGTCTTATGGGTGTAAGGTACATATACTTTTCAACCAAAAACAGGAAGTGACGTATACATATTGACTTACAATACACGGAGACTGTCAAGACCGATGAAGGCGTTCATGTGTAACCACTGTAAGCTCTGTCCCTGAAGACTCCTGCAGACAAGTAAATAATTGGTATAACCGTATTGTTAGTTCAAGAGCGAAAACGCCTTGAGGAGAGCTGGTGTCACATGACGTTTTGTCGGGGTACGTCATTACACCAGCCACTTTGTTCATTCTCGTTCGCAGTCCAAAGGAATTTGTGGTCGCCTCGTGTAAATTTAATTGTGCGTACGAGTCTATGCCGTGTCACGTGATCCAAATCTCGCAAATGCCAGTTCCATTAACATTTTAATTGTCTTTATTATTTTACATTATTGCCGATTCTTAAAACACTCGATAGGTACTGTATGCTGTCCGGTTGGACGGTACCAACGCGTTTTCGCGTGTTTTCGATTACTCGTGAACTAAATTTCATTCTTAACGAACCTCTCCCAAAATCACTGGTCATGTATTTTTTTTTTTAATTGATTGAAATTTAAATATCCACATTGTCAATTATAGCGAGATAACGAGGTTCAGACGGAAATATTTGCTTAAATAATCGGCTCGTCTACTTCTCCGCTCATTAGTTTCTACGTCCCATTCCTGCCCTGTTTTCG